ATAAACTACAAGATAATACTTGGATTAGCTTAAGTCACTTCTATGGTGTTGTATTGCTATTAAGGGTTGTTGTAAACTGAATATAACTTGGATTTTGACTTGAAGTTACTGTAGGAGGTATGTATATTGTGTTCTTTCTTGTACCTAAGGTTATCTTGATATTGATTAAGTTAAATGGATGGGCTAGACATGAACTAGTGAATAAAGTTGCTAGTTGGGGATAGTTGAAGTTGTGGATTATTTTCGTTGTTATAAATATATGGTATAAGGCTGGAATCATTGATTAATGACTTCATTATCAAGTTAATGATACTTTTATGTTGAAGTAAGAAGTCTATAAGGATTGATAAGGGGTATACGGATTCCAATCGGAGCTTGCCGCTCGTCGTAATGTAGTTGTGACTTGTTGTTGTTATATGGTGTCTTGATATTGATAATTATGTATTGATGGATTGCTCTGGTCATTGTTGTTTGTATATGGTATTGGAGGAGGCCCTTGTTACAAGGGAGATGCTGCCAAAATTTACGTAAACGAGCTACTAGCTTAAGTTATAGACTTAGCCTTTGCTCAGCACTGATTTTGAATCTCCTTATACTATGATAGATTGAGTTGACTTGTTTGAAGAGTTGCTTGGAAGTGATTAAGGACTCAACGGGTTTAAGGTATGTTAAGGCACTTTCTTCTTTCTTTTGGCATGATCTAAAGTGAAATGAATACGCTACTTCATAACGGATCTACTCCTAGCAACTAAGGTTGTCCATGTTGTTCTTTCCTTATAAAATTATTCTAAGCAAGTGTGTATGATCCTTGAATCCTACTAAGGTTCATATTGAGGGTATGGATGTCCATAGTGCTCTTAAGTCACTCCAAAAGGTTTAGAAGGTGATTCCATGAGTCTAGCATGCATTATATATAGTATCTATTTTACTCTACCGAGCCGCGCTATAGTCGGCCGGGTACGGCACCTATTGTGCAACCACTGATCAGTTGGGTTTACCGAGCTCCACGTGGCCGGGTACGATTCTACCGAATCTTATGATGGTCGGGTACGCTTTTACCGAGTCCTCTTTGAGGCCGGGTACGATATGATGATGATGATGCCCACAGAGGCGAATGTTTTAAAAAGTTTATGTATATATATGTATTATGCATTTCATATCAGTAACCCCCAGAGGCACTCTGATGTTACAGGTTGTATCTCCTCTATCTCTCTCTTTACATTACTGTTCTTGTTTATGCTTTCCTGCCTAACATACTCGGTACTTTATTCGTACTGACGTCCCTTTTGCCTGGGGACGCTGCATTTCATGCCCGCAGGTCCCGATTGATAGGTTGACAGTCCTCCTAGTAGGCTATCAGCTCAGCGAAGGTGTTGGTGCACTCCACTTGCTCCGGAGTTGCCTATTTGGTCAGTATGCTTTGGATATGTATTGATTGATATGGCGGGGCCCTGTCCCGACCTTTATGATTTTATGTACTCTTAGAGGCTTGTAGACATATGTCAGGTGTATGGATAATTGTATGGCCTTGTCGGCCTATGTTTCGAGTTTACTAATGGTCATGTCGGCCTTATAGGCCCGTATGTCACATATATTAGTTTGTATATCATTTTGGGTCTTCATATGTTGAGTATTCTCTTATGTTTTATTCTTGTTATATCATGACGGGTTTTCTGGCTCATTTACTCATGATAACATGATAAGAAAGATATGTTACATTGGTACTCGATTGAGTAAGGCACCGAGTGCCCGTCGCGGCCCTTCGGTTTGGGTCGTGAAAAATATCCAGGGGATCTCCCGGGATACCATCCCGTAGTCCAACTCATAATGTGCGGGGATCTCCCGGAATACCAATCTGTAGTCCCAAATGTAAATACTCAGTACTGGGGGAATCTACCGGGTGCAGTCCCGTAGTTCCAATATAAATGTGCATGGGGGATCTCCCGGAATACCAATCCATAGTCTCAAAGTAAACATGCAGCGGATCTCCCGGGATACCGTCCCGTAGTCCCAAAGTAAACACACAGCAGCAACACGAAGAACACTCAATTCAATTCAAATTCCATACCAAGGTAAAACAGGTATTTCTAACCTAGCATGCTGCACGGAATCCAAATAAGGCAGTTTGAGCAAAATAAAGCAATTAAGTCAATTAGGCATGCTTCCCTAAGCTAATAATAAGCTTAAATTGCAAGTAGTATAGGCAGGAAAAGAAGCACAATTATAGTTAATTAATGAAAATAGGATTTTCAACAATTAGCAAAAGTACCACTCGTCACCTCAAGTACAAGGCATCTCAAATATCAACAATACCAAATCCTAAAGGGGATTCCCCACACAAGGTTAGGCAAGTCACTTACCTCGAACTGGCTAAAAAATCAACCCAAAACCACGCTCTTGCCACGAGTACTCGACTCCAAATGGCCCAAATCTATTCAATTTAATTGCATAATGTAAATATAACTTCAAGTAACTTATTCCACTAATTAATTCTAAGCTAATACGCAAAATTAAGAAAAATGACCAAAATGCCCCTCGGGCCCACGTCTCGGAATCGGGTAAAATTTACAAATTCAGAATCCTCATACTCTCACGAGTTCATTTATACCAAAATTATTCTAATCTGACATCAAAATCTAGATCAAAATCCCAAAAATAGGCCTAAGAACTTTCCTCCACTTTTCCTCAATTTTCATCCCAAATCCGAAATTAAATGACAAAACTAAGATTAGATTATAGGAATACAACTAGAAAGGGATTAGGAATCGTTACCCACTGATTTTCTCTTCAAAATCCTCCCAAAATCGCCCTCTCCCGAGCTACAAATCGATTTTCTAACTTTTGATATCAAACCTTCGAAATGTCTTATTTTCTGCCCAGCAAATCCGCTTTTGCGGCCAAGGGACCGCACCTACGGTCCCGCTTCTGCAGAAACTCAACCGCACCTGCGATAATTCATTAATTTCCCATCTTTGCACATGCGACCACTTTACCGCATTTGTCGTCACGCAGGTGCGTGGACACTTCCGCACCTGCGACTTCTAGCCTTTCCTCATCTGGCCGCATCTGCGGTCTCCTAGCCGCTTCTGCAGCTCCACACCTACGGTCCCCAATCCGCAGGTGCGGTTATGACAGCAATCCAGCAGTTTCAGCTGTACACTTTAACTCTCAACTTCCCGTCAACCATCCGGAATCGTCCTGAGGCCCCCGGGACCTCAACCAAAAGCACGAACAAGTCATATACCAATATTCAAACTTATACAAATCTTCAAAACACCATAAACAACATCGAATCAGCCAATTAACATCGGATTCAAGCCTAAGAACTCCAAAAACTCTCAAATTACGCTTTCGATTAAAAAGTCTATCAACCCTCGTCCGAATGACCCGAAATTTTGCACACACGTCACATTCAACACTATGGAGCTACTCCAACTTCCAGAATCCCATTCCGACCCTTAGATCAAAAATCTCACTATCGATCCGGAAACTTCTAAAAATTCAACTTTCGGCATTTCAAGTCTAAATAAGCTGCAAACCTCCAAAACATAATCCGAACACGCCCCTAAGCCCAAAATCACTCAACTGAGCTAACGGAACCAACGGAATTCCATTCCGAGACCGTCTTCACACTACTCCGACTACGGTCCAAATTCTAAAAATTAAACTCTCATTTAGGGACTAAGTGTCCCAAAACTCTCCGAAACTCCAAATAAATCCTCTCGTCAACTCACAATAGCAGAACAGACACGGGGAATGCAGTTAACAGGGGATCGGGGCGTAAATTCTTAAAACGACCAGCCAGGTCGTTACAAATTTATAAATATTTCTTAAACTTTTTCATAATTTTATCTTTTAAGGTATTATTTCACTGTTGGACTTAGAACTTTTGAATGTTCCAATAAGTTTTATAACCATTAATATTAGTAATTCAAATAATGTTAACAAAAGTCCAAACCAAAATCAAATCAATATTAACGCTAATAAAAGACATTCAATTCAATACTCAGCATGACAATGTATTGAATATCTATTTTTTGTTTTGCAATGATTTAGATAAAAATGCATAACCTATTTTTATTTTTTATTTAGTCATGCAACTAATACTCCCTTATTAATCTATTTATTTTAGCATGACTTAGTACTTTAGATTATGTTTATTTTTATTATGGCTTTTTAATTAGCAATATTTATATTACGTGATTTTATTGTCTTTATTGTTGAATATTTTAGGATAATGTCATAGCACATCTCATATTTTATATTATTTTCTTGGAAAATACCTTATATAGTTGTATCTTACTAGGATTAAAGAAATATTTTAAGCACAAGTTACATGTTTTGTGATGCGAAGATTTTACCGGAAAAAAACCCCCGAAAAAACCAGAATAACCCAAAACCCGAGAAAAACCGAGATTGAAAAACCTCAGTTTTATTGGTTTGGCTTGATCTTTAAATTTAATAACCCGATACAATTAGTTTAGTTTGATAATTACAAAACCCGAACCAACCCGGCCTATATACCTAGGTGGGGATGCCAAAAGAATGTGAAAGTGGTTAAGAACTCAAGATTCATCCCCAAATGGAACGAAGGGTCCATCCACATGCAGTCTTCGCAGACTTAGAAGGTCATACAAAGAGCATTAGTCTGCAGGCCATACAAAGAGCATTAGTCTGCTTACTACTTTGCACATTTACGTGAATCTCAATTATGTCAATGAATATGTGTTACCTCCCATCAATATAAATATTGAATAACTCTGTTCACTAATTTAAGTTTTTTTTTTGTTTATGCTGAAAGTTAAACCCTGAACTACAAGAATTTTGACTCAATTTATTACTGTAAGAGCGAAAAGGGATTACTATCACGTGGAAAGAACTTCTTACTGAGGTCCACCCCTTTTAATATTCTCCTTTTAACACTTACACCTAAATCCTTGTTGTCATCTATAAATTCCTCTGTCACTCTTCAACTTAAGCACCAAAAAAGCTCACTCCCTCAAGTTTCTTCTCTGCTCTCTTATAGTCCTATTTTTCATTTGATAATGAGAAAAGGCAGATTAGCAAAGAGCACAAGTACTAATTCATCAAGTGAAGATGCATTTGAGTTAAGAAAAGGACCATGGACTATTGAGGAAGACAATCTTCTTATTCATCATGTAACTAGCCATGGCGAAGGTCGTTGGAATGCCTTAGCCAAATCTTCTGGTAAGAAATTTTCTTAACACCAATTCTTGACTCCAAGTAAGAATAAGTCCTTTAGAAAGTCTCATGATATTCAACTTTTGCAGGATTGAAGAGAACAGGGAAAAGTTGTAGGTTGAGATGGTTGAATTACTTGAAACCTGATGTTAAACGAGGAAACCTTAGCCCACAAGAACAACTCTTAATCCTTGAACTCCACTCTAGATGGGGAAACAGGTAAATATTTCCAAGACTTTTGCAAATTTAACTCTATCATGGATACAACTCTTCTTTCAAAATGCCAACAGGCGAATCTAGAGCGGATTTTGTGCGTTCAACTGAACCTAGTGCTAAGCTCGAACTATGAAAGCATATAGGACAAAAAATTTATCATGTATGCATATACTTAGATCGTATTCATTTTGAACGTACTAACTCCAAACCATGAATTCGTCTCTAAATACGAGCACATATATATTTAATAGTACTGTTTGTGGATATAGGTGGTCGAAAATAGCAGAGCATTTACCTGGAAGAACAGATAATGAGATCAAGAATTATTGGAGAACAAGGGTGCAAAAACAAGCACGACAACTTAAGGTTGATTCTAACAGTACAAAGTTTCTTGAAGCAATTAGGGGTTTTTGGATACCTAGGTTGCTTGAGAAAATGGAGCAATATTGTCCCTCTTCATCATCCCCTACTTCTTCATCTTCCACCATAACCATTGAAAAGCAGAATTCTGCTCTTCATTCTTCCTTAATCAACGAGCAAGAATCTTTGCAATCGCTAAATCCAAAACCAAATACATGCGAGGAAATTAGTCCAAGATTTTACTCACCAGAATCCAATAGTATGGCAGAAAATGCCACTGGCTTTAATGGTAACTCTGTTTATAGCAATTCAACTCAAGAAGATTGTTATCATTTGGAGACTAGCAGCTATTTTGAGGAGCAACCATATTTTTCAGCACTAGAATCCCAAGATATTCTCATCTGAGAATAATGAGATGACAGAAGCCAATTGGTTTGCTGATGAAGTGGCAGGTTCATTGTGGAACATTGATGAGTTCTGGCAATTCAGAAAAATAGGAGATGTAGGCATCTAGACTTCAACATTTTCAAAGTCAGAAGTTGTGTCACTAATATTTTGTTAATATTGATTGAGGAGTTTGTCGAAGTTTAACTTATTGAATCTATGAACGCGGCACGTCGTCCATGCTCTTAAAGTTTTACTGTATATGTAGGTGTTTCGCGGAGCTTGTGTAATGTAGTCAGAAAGTCACATGGTCACAAGGGTGGTCGTCGAAAAATTGCATTGTATATATATAGGCAAAATATTACATTTTAGAGGTATACAACACATATTGAATACCTTTTATTGGGAATTTTTTTTCACTTCTTTCAAATTTGAATACCCTTAAAAAAATTCATAGATTTACCCACTGAATGTAGTTGTAGTTAGTGTTGGAGTAGAACTCCTTAAGAGCAGCCTTCTTGTGGTATATAGAGGAGGTCCAAATTGTTAAATTTTAATAGAGTAAATATCACTTGGTAAAGCATATGTGAAGGGAAATATTTTATGATAAATTTATGAACAGGGGCGGAGCTAGAACACAATATATGGGTTCGGCCGAACATAGTAATTTTTGTCCCAACTATGTATTTATCTTAAGAATTCATCGAATATGTATAATTTATTAATTTAGAACCCAGTAACTTAAACAAATTAGATTTCCGAACTCATAAACTTCAAATCCTGACTCCGCCTCTGTTTATGAATACTCTACATTTTTCCTCAAGTCTCCACTTTTCTTCACACATAAAATAAGCTAGTAATATCCTTATTTATAATAGCGCGAAACCTATGTTAACTAGAAACATGAAATCATATTCCTATATTAATTCTGACTACAAATCTTATTTAGACATGAATTAAATAAACCAAATCCTAAATAACTAAAGTTTTCTACTACAACTTTAAATTAGTTTTCCAACATTCTCCCGTAATTCAAAGTTGTAAACGTCTGACTTGTTTGTATTGTTGTCTTGGAACACTTTTCTCCAAATTCTACTTTTGTTGAATCACATGTGTCCAGCCCTCGTTGATGCATTTTGTCACCAACACTCAATTTTGTTGAAGCACTTGTATTCAGCTCCCGTTGATGCACTTTGTCACGAACAACCAAATTTGTTGAAGCACCTGTCTCCAACTCTCGTTGATGTACTTTGTCACCAACACCCAATTTTATTGAAATACCTGTCTCCAACTCCCGTTGATGCACTTTGTCACCAACACCCAATTTCGTTGAAATGTCTGCCTCCAGCTCCCGTTGATGCACTTTGTCACCAACAACCAATTTTTGTTAAAGCACCTGTCTTCAACTCCCGTTGATACATTTTGTCACCAACAACCAATTTTGTTGAATCACATGTCTTCAACTCCCGTTGATACACTTTGTAACCAATATACAATTTTGTTGAAGCCCTTGTCTCCAACTCCCATTGATGCACTTTGTCATCAATTTTCAATCGCTAATGCACCTGTCACCAACTCATTTTCTTTGTTTTTTTTCTTGGTCGCTTCTCTAATTTTTAGAGAAGAGCTTATTCCTCTTGTCAGTATGATTATTTTTTCATGCATATATCATTGGCCTGGCTTTTTCCAATATAATCATTGATCAGGCGTTTGCCAACATTATTTTTGGCCAGACAGTTGCCCGCATAATCATTGGTCAGAAGGGCGGTACATATTGGCTAGCACTTCCCGCCAGCAGCGGAAGCTACTTAATTATCTCCTAAAATTGTAAAAGCTCTGATACCAATATGAAGGAAAAATATTTTATTATAAATTTCCAAAAGCTCTACAGTTCACCTCAAGTCTTTATTTTTCTTCACACATAAAATAAGCTAGTAATATCCCTATTTATAATAGTGTGAAACCTATGTCAGCTAGAAACATGAAAGCATATTCCTATATTAGTTCTGATTACAAATCTTATTTAGACATGAATTAAATAAATCAAATCCTAAATAACTAAGGTTTCCTACTACAATTTTGAATTAGTTTTCCAACAATATGGTATAGTTAGCTTCTAATGTTTTTATTATGATCTTGATCTCGTAGTTTTAGCTCTAAGGAAAGATGGATGCCAGCTCTCTAGTCTCTAGAAAAATTTGTTACTCTATAACTCATTGTTATTTGATTTCTTGCTCAATTTTTTTTTGGGGGGGG